TTTGTGTATCGGAACACAGCAGGCTAATATTCGATATTTGGTATGGAAACGTAAATAAGACCTTAATGGCAAGTAATTTGTATTTGGTGGAACCATACCACAGTACATATAATTGGAGGCTAGGCCAAAAACTTTTTTTTCTAATTTAAGTTTAAATGGCGAATTTTGAGATTCAAAAAAAATTAAAAAAATCAAATTAAGAAAAAAACCCGTGGAGTCAAGGATAAGTTTTTATAGCTGAAGAGTTAGCAAATGGCGCCCTCTTTCGGGCAGTTAAATTTGGCAAACGATGCACCAAACACCCTGTACATATATTTATTTTTTTTTTCAAAACTTTTGAAAGTTTTTATATTTTGACTATTATACCCAATATAGAACCCTTAAATGAATTTGTAAAAAAAAAATCAAAGCCAAATATATATCTGACAAATTTATGCACCTTTGAAAATACGATATTGGAATTCGTGGTTGTATTTACCCCACCTTACCTTACTAATAGAAAAACCGAAAAAGGACCAAAAGGAAAAAGTAAAATACAGGCCCGTCTGTTTTCTAAATGTCGGCAGCAAATTCTTGGAGCATCTAATAAGAGACAGGCTCAGCGAAGTCCTAAATCTAAGAGAAAATTTATCCGATAGACAATACGGCTTTAGGCCAGATAAATCAACAACAGACGCAGTGATGAGGGTAACACAGATTTTAAGAAACGGTATTAGCAAAAAAAGTCACACCGAAAATCAGGAGCTCTTATCACGTTAGACATTAACAAATTAAAAATGCCTTGAACACGGCACCGTAGAAGGAGATAGTAGTAGAACTGGAGAAACGCGGCATAGCGCCCTACCTGAGCAGAAGTTATTTCACAAATAGAAAAATAATCAAAGAAGCCGAGTGGCAAAAGGAAGTAATACAGATGACATGCCGCGTCCCACAGAGTGCTGGGGCCAACTCTGTGGAACATTCTGTATGACGGGCTGCTCAAACTAAACATGCCAGGGGGAGTGACGCTGATCGAGTAAGCGGACGACATTGCCATGGCGGTCCTAGGGAACGACATAGCGGACCTACAGACGAAAATAGACATTGCAATGATAGACATATGCGAGTGGCTCCAAGACAACCACCTAGAACTGGCAGCAGAAAAGACTGAAATTCTACTGACAACACTAAAAAAGACAAACGCCCCAAGCGACTTTAAACATTCTGGACACGGAAAAAAGCTGTCAAATACCTGGGGGTCTGGATTGATACAAAACTAAAGCCTACAACACATGTGGAGAAGCTAGTGGCCAGAGCTAGCCAAACATCGATGGCAGGATCATGCCAAACATAGGAGGACGGCAGGCTAGCAAAAGGAAAGTCCTAACATCAGTGACTAACTCGATTGCCCTATACGCTGCTCCAGCTTAGGCAGAGGCAATGAAGCTGGAGAAAAACAAAAAGGTCTACCAGAAGATACAAAGCGCAATCCGCCATACTCATATGTAGCACCCACAGGAGGCACTTCTGATAATAGCGGAACAACTCCCATTGACCTCCTGATGCTAGAAAGAAAAGATACCTACAACGCTGATAAAGCTCTCCGAATACAGGCCCGCACTCCGGAGAATTGTAGATGGACAAAGAGGCTGATCCCGCAAATCGAATACTGGTTCAAGACAGAGATACAAGCTTCTACATCACGTAAGCCCTAACGAGACACGGCTGCTTTAGGGCTTTCACCAGAATTGGGAAGACTGATGACGACGAATGCGTTTACTACGGCGAAACGGATACGGCCGAGCACACGATCTTCTACTGCCCCAAATGGACAGAAGAGAGAGAGACATGCTACCAGAAAACGTACAGGAGACTGACGTCAGAAAACCTAATAGAAACCATGCTACAGGACAGCCGAAAATTCGAGGAGATCGGCAGGGTGATGGAGATTATACTCAAAGAAAAGAGCGAAGAGGAAAAGGAATACCAGTGAATAAGTGACAGACTAAATAGACCAAAGGCGCACAAGGACGAGAAGTGTGCCCGAAAAGCATCCCCTTTGAAGTAATGCGTGAGCGGTTCCAGAGGAGGGACAGCTTGAAGGGGAGGAGTTTTTTAGTTGGTAGGCAACGGGTGCATCCAGCACTACCCGGCTGTTGAAGAACAAGCCCAACACAAGCAACTACCCGCCATCGACAACGGCCGGTTTTCTTTTGAACATTTTTCTCCACCTTCGCACTGGTCAACATTCCCCTCGGCGCAAACAAACTAAGCAGTGAGATCTCTCTTGGTGAAAACGTGTTACCACTTTGAGAACTCAACTCGGAATGCCAGAGTCAGAGAAAAATTAAAGATTTTTTTTTTGACTCTAGGGATGCGGATTCAAACTTTTTTCTGAGTTTTCAAATTATACCTAATATGTACATACATATAAGGGAGATATCATATGGGTATCTGGTCGGGATTATTCCAAAATCCAAGGTATCTATCTATAATATATTTAAATATTATCACAGATAAAAAGAATATCTTAACCTAAAGAAAAAAGCTTTTGAGCCAAGGCCGCCATGTCTAGATATGGCCAAATGAATATTACCTTGACAAAAATCAACCACATCCTTGGCTTTAATCTATTAATCCTTACCAATTATAAGAACATATGACCTAATCCTAAGAAAAACAGAGGATTTATTATCTTGTTCTAAGACAGGTGAAAATATTAATTAGTTGATCTGAAGGTAATCGTTCCTTTTGTCCAAGAATCTTAATCTTGAGTCAAAGCCGCATGATCTTTGTAAATGTACAAGATGTTACTAACCTCAAAGACATGTTCTTGAGAGAAATAAATAAATGCTCTGGCGGTAAATGAATATCCTTCTGGTAAAGTACTTTCACTCACTTCAAATACAAACCATCTTCTGTCAAGAAATAATTCCTCGAATCAAGAATGAATATGTGAAAATCCAGAAGCTGTTGAAAATTGGTTATAAGTTAAAGGTAACTTTGATTGCTCAAAACAACACTACGAAAAAAGATGATCCCTTTGTTAATGAAGAATTCTTATTTCATGTATTCAATAATGACACAGTCAAGGTTTTTCAGGCAAAATAAAGATAATCTAGGAAATAAACTTATATATTACATAAAATATACAAAATATTGGCCTAACTAAATGAGTCAGAAAAAGACAAAATATTCTAGAACAATATCTAGTAATATCAAAGCAAGACTAACAATATTTTTTTGATCACCAAAAACAGAGATTCTGGGTGGGAAATAGAAAACAAACTTTGTAATATATTGATAAAAGGATTTTTTGAAAACCTAATTTTGTTTCGAAAAACAGATATGTACTTAATAATTTATAATAATAATAATTCAGACGTTTATTTAATACAATTTTTTTGTTATGTACAAGTAAGCAATTAATACTAATTAAAGAAGTAAAAATAAACGTTCTTGTCTTCTGCCGAAATATACACAAAAATGTACGTATTTGTATGGCAGTTTTTTGCTCCACTTCTATGCAGTTTTAGTGCTTCACTTTTCACTAATATCTACTTTGATTTTGATTCACAAAACTGTCAATTGCTTCTCGGGAACACACTTTTAAAATCCATTCTGACATTTTTTTCTTGAAACTTATTAAACTTTCACAAGATTTTATTGCACTTGGAACTATATTAAAAAATCTTGGTGTGAGGTATAGAAAGCTTCTCTGTCCACAGGCCTTGTGACATTTTGGTACTGCAACTTTGTTAATAGTTCTTAGAGTATAATGTCTGTCATTCACAATTAAACATTCATGTGGTTTTTTAAATGACCTCAAAGCCATTCTGTAACAGAAAAGCTGTCGCATATCCATCACACCACTTAAACGGTATAGTGAGTCAGATGGGAAAAGCCTGCTCTTGCCAAAAATGATATTCAGAAACCACTTTTGTATGATCTCTAAGTTTTTGAGGTGTGTATTTAGGACTCCGCCCCAGTCAATAATTCCATAAATTAAATGACTTTGAACTAATGCAGTACAGAATTTTGAGTTGATTTGTAGACATGAAATCTTTCAAATATTTGAATTTTGTCAAGATTCCTCTTAATTTCTGAACAATATACTTGATATGTAATTCCCAACGAAGGTTACAATCTATTATTATGCCCAAATATTTGACGGACTTTGTGGTGGGTATTAAAAAGTTATCGACTAGTATACCCTGGATGTTTTTTGTAGCTTACTCCTGGCTAGAAAACAACATACATTTGGTTTTATCGAAATTTACTGTGAGCAAGTTACTAACACATCTTAAATAAAAAAAATAAACAAAATGGTTTGTTCATTTACACTTGGCGGCCTTGGCGCTACTGCCAAGACAATAACTTCTTCCTCTGAACTCCTTCCCAGAAGTATTCAAGCACACCCCACTCACTACTCCTGAAATTTCACTCATAACGATATTCATCAAAAACTTGCTGAATCATGTATAGAAAGACGCGGCAGACACTGGGAACCGATAACGACTAATGTATTTTGTGGACTCATAAATGTGACCACGATCTGAATCAGAACCATTGGGGATATGCTGACCGCGAAGGGCACGTGGGTTTGGCATAAGGACCTACTCTTTAGACAAGAACCGATAAATTGAAAATCTAATTCTTAGAGACGACTGCCTCAGAACAAGGACTTAATTCGTCAAGATAATTGGGAAATGTTGCGAAGAACATGAAATCTCTTTTGGCAAGAATAGATGAAATTCATCTAAATATATGTCTTCAATTATTGAAGATAATCAACAGCCAAGATAATATATTCTCTTGTAATAAGAAGTCATTTTTATCTGTGACCTAATGATTGTTTTCCATTACAAAATGGTCTTATGGCCCACCCTAGAGGCTAAAAAAAAAAAATGAAATTTTTCTTTCTATAAAATAATATAAAAAGAAACAGGAGCCTCCCGGACCGTTTTTCAGTTTTATCCCAGTGTTTCCCGTCGGGCGACAGAACGGCGAGGGGAGTATCCCAAAAACCCAACAGCTGATTTGGTGCCGACAAAGATGCCAGGTCAGAGCGACGCCGGTAGTTCTGGCGACGTCGTTATCCAGGCTAGATATCCAGGAGCTAGAGACGTTCGAGTTTAATTCCCGAATTCCCGTTCGTGGTAAAAATATACGCGCGCGGAATTTTTAGCGCTCCGACGTCATTTTTCAGTTTGAAAGTGTAGATAAATTTGGGATATTCATTTTTTTTTTTGGCAACTGAAAATAAGAGTGTTTAGGTAAGCAAAATGTACCCACAGATAAATTACAAACATAATTTGAATGATTTCCAATTTTGAAAAAAAAATTAAACAATAGAAAAGTATACCTACTGACATATTTATCAAAAAGAACAAAGTTTTCTTTTTTAAAATTCAAAATGCATTTAAGCTAATTATTCATATCGAGTTGAATAACCTTGGAGCTTAAATTAGTTGTTACACCATTTCGGAAGCTGATGAGAGCTGATTTAAATAGATTATCCCGATAAAGCTTGTTTGATAGTATTTCCAATAACATTTTATTTTAATTGATTGTTGACTGCAAGTTCACACAGTTTAGACCCGATATAGAGCACAAAATAACAGATTGACAGAAAAATATATAGAATGATAGATACCACTTCGAATTATTTTCTGGATCAGTCGATTGATTTAAAAAAAAAAATCAATTAGGTATTTTCTGGATGTTTTCAAGTTTCATTATAGAAAGAAATTTTCCATTTAATATTCTTCAAGGATTAACCGGGCAGCGCTGATTGTTCCAAAAAAAATTTTTTCTTTGAGCTGAATTATTGTGGTAAAAAAGTCAAAAACTCGATTTTTTGTTTCGTTGAAGTTTCAATCATTATGCTTTTTATGTCGAAACTTTGGCTTCCACATATTTTGATTCAATATAGGTAAAGAATTTGAAAATTTATTCTTTTTTTTCAAGCGATGCACACATAACTGTACGAAATCGACAATTCCACTCATGTATAAATAATCTCATTTGGAATGTAAAAATCCGTGATTTGCTATCGGATAAAAAGGAAGGCAGAGAAAAGAATACTGGATAAAAAAAATCTGTTCATATGCAATCGCAAGAATATCAATTAACAATGGCATATTAACTGGCCATCGCACAATCTGTCAAGCAATTGTCATAAAAACAAATTTGCGTGCCGAAAGGTTTACTTTACCGTACTCAATGCAGTAACAAATCTTTACCACACTCCCGTTCCAAACTTTGTAATATATTATTTTTATTGCGTAGGTACCATGCCATGCTCCTATGACATTTAACATTTCCTGAATTTTGCTTTTAATTTTCTCTACATTTATCCTTTACCGCACTGCATTCAAATAAAAAAAAAATGCAGCTTATGTATTTGTATTTGTGCAATGCATAAGAGAAAATTATTTTTTATAATTTTTATTAATTTAAATTTTTATTCCAAAAATTATTTGTTCGAAAGAAAAATGTTGTACAGGGTATTTGATTATATTTGGCACCATACCTACAGCCTTTACTATTTAAGATAGAAAAAAATTGTAAATACAAAACTTGACAGTTTTTTTCTATATTTTCTTTTAACGTTATCAGAAAAAAAAAATCGCCTCGGAAAATGGAGAAACGTAGACAACTTCGACTTTTTTAAATGGAACACCCTGTATATTTTGCGATAAAATGAAAGACCTTTTCTTCCTGATCACAAATATATATATGTTGATCACATTTGCATGAGCCATTTTTGACATATCTCAGCTTAAATTATAACTAAATTGCAAAGAAATTGTATAAAGATAGAGATCCTTATGGAACTTTTCTGCAAATTCTTTATAATTTAACCTGAGATATGTCAAAAATTGTTCAAGCAAATGTTATCAATATATACAGGGTGTATATTTTAAGTGATACCACTATGGCTATATCCGAAACGGTAAGAGCTACAAGGTCGGTTAAATTAGAAAAAAGTTGCCTTTTTTGATGCTCATTCAAGACTTGTTTACAGTGTTGCCAAAGTCCTTTTAGTTTATGAAATACAGGGCGATTTATAAAAAAGGCCTAAAATTATTTCGTCAATTATTTTGAAAACTATTGATATTCGGGACATAATTTAAATTTGAAAAGTTTATAATTTTTTTCGCTCTACAACATGACCTCTTCAAATTTCAAATCCGACGTTTCGTGATCGAGATACCATCATCAACTTCATTTTTTTAAATACGGACCTGGATTTTTTATGTCATTTTTGGAAAGAGAATTAAGGGCGCTTCCTAAAAATGACATAAAAAATCCAGGTCCGTATTTAAAAAAATTAAGTTGATGATGGTATCTCGATCACGAAACGTCGGATTTGAAATTTGAAGATGCCATGTTGTAGAGCGGAAAAAAATATAAAACTTTCAAATTTAAATTGTGTCTCAAAAATCAATAGTTTTGGAAATAAATGATGGAATATTTTTGGACGTTTCTTAGAAATCACCCTGTATTTCATAAACTAAACGAAATTTGGCAACACTGTAAACGAGTCCTAAATGGGCATCTAACAAGGCAACTTTTTTCTAATTTAACCGACCCTGTAGCTCTTACCGTTTCGGATATTAGCAATAGTGGTATCACTTAAAATATACACCCTGTATATATATTTGGAATCAGAAAGAATAGATCTTTCATTTTATCGCATAATATACAGGGTGGTCCATTAAAAAAGTCAAAGTTGCTTACGTTTCTCCATTTTCCGATGCGATTTTGTTTTTTCTGATAACGTTATCAGAAAATACAGAAAAAAACTGTCAAGTTTTGTATTTAATTTTTTTTTCTATCTTAAATAGTAAAGGCTGTAGGTATGGTGCCAAATATAATCAAATACCCTGTACCTAACACTTGTGAAAAGTGCCTTTAACGCCCTTAACGGCTTACCCAAATTCCCCTTCGCTTGGGCAAATGCCGTCGCGTGCGGTAAAGGACCACTTTCCGCACTTGTCTATAGCCTTCTACATAATATTTGTTTGGTTAAATTAATTATCGTTAACCATATAAACTGAATATATTTTTTTTTACACTACTACTACATGGTCATCAAATTAAGCGTTATTCCATATTCATTTAAGGTGTAGAACTTTTATTAAATTTGGATCGTGCTCTTGTTTATTTCTCTTAGTAATCAAAATATCATCCTCATCTACAGTTACTAAATAAACTCTGTCATAGGTAGGGTCTTTCATCGATTTTTAAATGGTTAGTTGTGAGCATCGGCAACCTTCGGCGGTTACCGTTTATGTATAATCTGATTCAAGGCTCTTTAGAAAACTTCTAATAATGAACATATCCATATGCCAAATGGTCAAGTTTTATAGGCAAATCTACTTCAAAGGCTTATAAAATTTGCCGAGAGTTTCGAATATTCGAAAATTGGTAATCTTCAACTCGTCCAGTGCGTTTTAAGTAAAATGGGAAATAATCCAGTTCATAATTATTTACTTCATCTTTTCAATAATGTTGAAAATTCATTTATATTTCGTTGGAATATTTCTGCGACCAAGGACAATCAACCCAACTGGAAATTTTGCCGGACCTATCTTTGTCGATGTTAGTGATCTTTTTCGTGTATTACATCATTGATACGCAGAGGACCAACGATTTTACATCGCTTTCCGAAAGATGGCGTTTCTTGCTATTACGAATGTCCATTTAAATCCTATTAATTCATTTCCAAATTTACCGAAAAGTGAGCACATAATGGCGGCGGGACCTCTATTGTCGCCACTGTTTGTAAAGGTTTATTTAGCCACCGTAATACCAACCTGGGCCTGCATGACAAGAGGCTGAAACGCTAACCTTTAGATTACAACGCCGATCCTTAATATTTTTGTTTATATTTAATTTCTATGTTTCTGTTTCTATATAATAATTATCATTTTCTCAAGTACCTATCGGTCTTTCTGAAACATTATCATTTGTATTGTATCAGCTACGAATATCTTTTGTTTAATATTCCTGATGTGTTCTGCATCGGTAAGTCTGATTTATGTTCTTCTAGGTAACATACCTATGATCAAACTGTGGTGTATGCACCACTATTAAATTCAAAATTTATCATTTGTCCTTGGATTTCGAATTTACCAATATATGGGATATTTTCGTATGTGCATACATTTCCAATAATTTCTGTTTCATCGCAATTTCATGAATAGGCCCCTTGCAACAGTTTTATTTTATTGCTGATTTCGTTAGTCAATGAAAAATGAGTATTGACGGAGATATAACGCTTTGAAATGTGCTTATATACAAAACCTAATATACTCCTCGACAAAATTATCGCACCACTGCTTATGGTGATGCTTATGTGCAGTGGTGCGATAATTTTGTCCAGGAGTATATTTGTGTATCTTCCGTAATAACCGTTTGGGAAAAATAGAAAAACACGCATCGATTTTTTTTCGATTTCCCATAGTTTGCAATAAACAATAATCAATTAAATTTTTCATGCAAGTACAGAGTTATTGGTTATAAATGTCACCCCCCTCTATCTTTTTTATTTGACATTTTAGAAAAAAGTGTCCCAAATAAAAAAAATATGGTTGAAATTAAATTTTTTGAAAAACTCACTTTTGCATATACAGGGTGTTCCAAAAAAGCTGGTCGTGCTCCAATTTTCTTATTTTAAATTGAATACCCTGTATATTATTCAATATTCGGATTCTACATCAAATTCTGAGCAGATTTCATGTGATATACCCTATACCTAAGTTCAACTGTTTTGGAAATATTGACAGTTGAAAATTGACTTTTTTGTAAATTTGACAGGCTGTAAAACCTAAACGGTTAACTTTTGAGCAAAACCAATCTTTAATTTTTTTCTAAGATTTTCACAAGTTCTCATTTGACACCAACTTTGAAATTAATCGAAGATTAAATTTAATTTGAATTTTCAATCATGGATCAAATTCAAAGTTGATGTCAAATATTGGTGTCAACTGATAGTTCAAAAATATCTAAGATAAAAATGTAAGATCGGTTTTGCTCTAAAATTAACCGTTTAAAAATTACAGCCTGTCGAAGTTGCAAAAAAGTCAATTTTCAACTGTCAATATTTCCAAAACAGTTGAACTTAGGTATAGGGTATGCCATATGAAATCTGCTCAGAATTTTACGTAAAATCTAAATATACAATAATATATAGGGTATTCCATTTGAAATAAGAAATTTGGAGCACGACCAGCTTTTCTGAAACACCCTGTATATGCAAAAGTGA